CAACGATTACTTCTACCTCCGGCTGCTATTGATAAATGTACGTGGTTAAATTTCATTTGAGTCATTATGTACGGTGAATGGCACAGTGTGTGCTACTTTTTGAGAAGCGTGCTCACACACTTTTCGGGATGATCATTTCTAAATACCAGCCTTCAATTATGGAATACGACAAAAATTACATTGCCGAAGATATTTGACATCGTATTCGATGAGAATTAGAAAAGACAAAATCCGGTTGATACTTCCAGAGGTTTGATATCAATTCCACCTGCATTTTGTCAATTCACTTCAACGAAATTTGAACTCATCCCGAATGTTATGCCAACATTGGGCAAATTATCGTAACTACCATTGCTCGCGTGCACTCGCAATTTTAGCTGCCAAAAATAAGAAGCCGTGAATTATCCAGTGGAATTTCTAAAATTTTTGGAGAGGCTTGGTATGCCGTCGCATTATTTACGTCTCAAAGTTGGATCTGTTGTTATTAAGTTTCGCAATCTTCATGTACCGAAATTTTGTAATGAAACCCTACTAGTTGTGCCGCAGCTATCAAATACAGGGGCCGAATTCTTGATTCTACGAATTCCTTTGAGTTCCAACGATTTGCCATTTCAGCTCGAACGTATTCAGTATCCAGTGAATATACATTTGCAATGATCAACAGGACACAAGGATAGTCGCTAGAAGTGTGTGGCATTAATCTGGAAATGCCATGTTTTTCACACGGCCAGTTATACCTGACGTGTTCACGTGTGGGAAAACTACCTTCTCTGTACATTTACACACCAGAACAGTAACAAAAAATGTTATTTAACAAACTACGTTACAATAAAAAAAATTAGAAAAATCGAAAATAAATGATTTTCAACAAAATGTATATTCAACTTTGTTTTCATTTCAAAACATATAATTTCACGCAAGGCAACGCCTGTGCAACACTATTGCGCAGGATTGCACTTCGATTCCGGTCCATTGGTTTGAGCATCTGGAATAGTTTGCTCTAATCGCTGTAGAGTAACGCTTTATAAATCGGTGATATCATAAAAACTTTCTAAAAATACTTGTACTGTAGAATTTGTGAAAGAGTTGTGAGCACGCAAAATTGTGTAAAGGTCATGAAACATGTATGTGCTCTTTTTGCCGCTTAAACTCGTTTTCGAAGACAAAGGTACTACGAGAAAAGAGGAAGAGACTGGCATTTGTACCGGGGTGTTGCGCTTTTTCCTTTCCTTTTTCCTTTTTCTTTTGAAATTTATTTCATGGCTGCAACAACACTCGGTCTCAAAGAAATATTTACAATATATTATTAATATAAAATTATTATATAAAATTATTATATAAATTATAATTATTATAAAAAATTTACTTGTTATTATCTATTTGTTTTTATGTTATATGCTTACATTCATGTTCTGTTTAGAAACTAACCAAGACCCCTTCTTTTGGTAAAGTGTACCAGAACTGAACTGACAGATGGTTGTTAACTTTTTCATTTTCAGCATTTGTTTAAATATATACACAAATATATATATATAAACATTCAGCAATAGAATATAATACTTTTGTTTACCTAGCTTTTGTTTGTATTGCACAAAAATTCATTGTACGGTTTATATGTACTTATATAAAAGTTCAGGATGGTGAGACGAGTAAAAATCCAAGTGACTGCCTGTTCATCCGTCTGTTAAATATGGGGTGGATACATCCATCTGATGAAGATGTAACCCGTACTCCGCTGCGAGCGCAAATATCATTCGGATAGTGATATACCTTACAACGGGTGAAAAGGTTTCATCATAGTTAACRCCATAAACCTGTGAACACCCTTTTGCGACTAACCTAGCTTTAAAGCGATCCACCTTACCCTCTTTATCTCTTTTAATGGCATACACCCATTTACATCGTACGGCTTTTTGCCCTTTTTCATAAGAGAATTATATTCATTTTGCATAGCGTCGTACCATTTAGTAGCATATTCACTTGAAAATGCCTGCTCTACAGACTCTTAGATCAGTGTCTATTAAATTTAAGTACGTATATTGCTTTGTGGGTCTGCCTGGTCCCCCACTACGAACCAATCGTGGCCTGCCAGGACCCCTATTTAAAGGAATATCGTCTGCGTGCTCTTCTTCAGCGGACTCAAAGTCATTGTCACTATTTGCTGCTATATCTACCACCTCTTCTACGTTTTCCATCGCGCATGTATCTAAATGTGTGCCTTGCTGCTGGAATTCATTACCAAAGGTACCTATATCAAATTCAATTGGATGCACTTGCACACCTTTCGCAACTTTCATATTCAATCCGTCATGCTGTTTCGCCGATATTGACTCTACAAAGTAGACATCTCTACTCACTATCAATCGTCGCGTTTGTTTATCATACAGTCTGTATGCTTTGTCGGAGTAATCGACCATGACATACTCCTTGCCTCTTGGTTTGAATTTGTCTTTTTGCTTTTTATCCAAAGCTATCGCGAGTGACCCAAATGTACGCAAATGCCCTACCRCCGGCTTATAGCCATACCATGCTTCATATGGTGTCATAGCATTTAATGCTCTTGTTGGTGCACGATTTCTTAAATATACTGCCGTATTAACAGCCTCCGTCCACAACGATTCATTCACACCAGAACTTACTACCATACACCTTGCCATCTCGATTAGTGTACGATTTAGCCTCTCTGCTACGCCGTTTTGTTGTGGTGTGTAGGGCACTGTTAATTGTCGCACAATACCATGCTCTTTAAGAAATTTATTAAACGCATTCTGCACAAATTCCGTGCCGTTGTCACTACGAAGCATTTTAATTCTCTTTTCTGTTTGGCACTCAACCATTTGTTTAAAATCTTTAAATTTTTCTAGTACTTCGTCTTTGTGTCTTAAAAAATAAACAAATACAAATCGCTTCTTATCATCTGTGAAAGTTAATACATATTTCGCRCCGCCAATTGATTCATGCCTCATAGGCCCACACACATCAGTGTGTATCAACCCCAAAATCTCTTCTGCTCGGCTATCAGATTYATTGTATGGCCGCTGGCTACACTTATTAGACATACATAAAAAACATTGAATGTCTGCTGGGATATTTACTTTCATTCCTCGAACCATGTTGTTGTTGCTCAATTCACGCAGGCTAGCAAAATTTAGATGACCGTATCTAGAATGCCACTTCATTGCCTCATGGTTGGGTTTGCATGCAAAAAAACAATTGATTTTTATTGGGCTCGAATAGAAACAGATCGCATACCTTGTTAGCACACAAAATGACATCTCCGTGTTTATTTTTTATCATTGCCTCATTTCTTGTAAATTGAACTTTGTAACCGCTGTTTACTGCTTTGGAGACTGATATAAAATTACATTGTAGTCCGGGTACGAACAATACTTTAACAAGTGTGACGTCAAACATGCTCGTTTGCAACCGAACAATTCCTCTGCCAGCCGCTAACATTTTGTTGTCGCCAGCAAGTATGATCTCTTCTTCATACAACTCGAATTCGCTGAACTTATCGCGGTCGCAACACAAATGAGAGGATGCGCCGCTGTCGACACACCAAGCATCAGTATGCAGCAATTTTTTGCTGATCGCCGCAAACAATCCGTTGCTTCCATTGTTGTCGCTTTTTTGTTGTTTTTGCACGTTTTGCTTCTYTCTGCACTGAGCAGCGAAGTGACCTTTTTTGCCACAATTGTAGCATTTCACATGTCGTTTGTTTTTGTTGTTCGATGCGCTGCTTACTTCGATTAGTTTCAAATTCGTAGAACTATTCTTTTTGATAGAAYTTTCGCGAACCATKAACGCTTGCACGCTACCTTCGGTGTTTTCCGTTACACATGACTTACGACGTTCACCTTCTTCTATTAGCTTAATTTTTATTGAATTTAGCTTAGGTAGCTCATCGCGAGACTCYAAAGCGACGACCAAATTTTSAAATGATTTTGGCAAGCTTGCTAGTAGCATTATAACGAAAAACTCTTCTTGGAGACTTACTCCAATTTCTTCAAGCTTTTCTGCCAAAGAAGTAAATTTGCACACATACTGCTGAACGCATTCGTCATCGCTCATACGCATACCAAGAAGGCGCTTAAATAATGTCACCTTACGTACCTGCCCTTTTGGCCTATGGATCTCACGAAGAGTATTCCATGCTTCGTTTGATGTCTTGCAATTCTTCACGTGAGCTATCTGTATCGTCGTTATACTCAATATTATAGTTGCCGTTGCCTTTTCGTCTTTGGTTTTCCTCATTAGTACATTCTTATCGTCTGCATCTGCTTCTGGACAAAGTGTTTCTCCTGATGTTACGSACCACAGCTCCTGGTGAACTAGCACACTCTTTAGTTGGATACTCCATGAGTCGTAGTTGACTCGTCCAATTTTTCAATATTAAAAAGCGACGAACTCATCTCATATTTCTTTTATTTACTTGGACTGCAGGAATTTGCACCAAGTGAAGTTACAATTACAATATTAAGAAGTAGTATACATACAAAGTTATGAAGACAAGAAATAGTGTTGCATGGATATGTACGTTGTACACAGGAATGCATTTCATCAATATCTCAATGAAACTTGGGCTTTAAAAAAGTGGACGTGACCCTAATGTAAATATATTTCAAGTTAAAACAACATAATTCTTTCAAAAAAAAAAAAAAAATCCTATAAGAACCCATCGACCGTGTGGAAATGGATCATAACCGTGCTCACTCTCTATATAACGGTACTGTTAAAAAATACTAAAAACGTGATTAATCAATAACTAAATACAAGACATTAACTTTACTATCACCGAGATGGTTTGAGAGTTATTTGTTAATAATAACATAGTGTCTCAATTAATTTTTTTACTTTAACTGTTTTCTTATTTAGCAAGTGTTGATGAGTTAATAAAATAATATTTGTTATTGTTTTTAAACAACGATATGTTCATTAAGCTTAGTAAATAAATACATAAATACCTGCATAATTTTATTTTATATTTAAACTTTCCTTACCTTTCGGTAGTGAAGGACTGGGCGCTTTCCAACCTTTTGCTAAACTAGGCTTATATGCCAACTCTCGTTGAGGGTTGTGGCCGAAGTCTGGTTTGACTGTTGGAAAATGTTTCTGTGGTTGCTCCTAAAAAATTATTAAAAGATTAACAAATACCAAATATTAATAAAATACGTGATATATAAAGAAACCCTTTTCTATGGAATTACTCTTAACTGAAAAGAATTAATGCCTTGAGATGTTTAAGTATGTTATAGAATCACCTGCTGCAAAATGCTACTTGTCCATGCTGAATGAGTACCTTAGATATATGTAAGTGGGTAGTTGAAAGGGTCTTTTCGTATTTCTGATCAAACTTCAACTTTTTTTTATGTTATACTTATAAATAAATAGCAAATATGTATCACTTTGCTCGACCAATTTTTGCTTTTCTTCCGCTGGAGACATTATTCCATCAGTGTGAAACTTTCTTCAGAGTAAATCGAAATTTCGTATGCTATACGAACTGATGCAGCATCGTCTTCTTGGTATCTTGCGTGGCATTCATTCCTTTTTTATTTAAAAATTTAGCGAATTTCTTCAATATTTTCACTAATTTTTGAACAGCTGTAAATTGTCAGCTTCCCCGAATTCAATTACTTTTTTTGTTAAATGAAGTCTAAAATCTCACCTTTCCAACACTATATGGTGTGAGACAATGTGATTGGTAGCACTGGAGATATACGACTGCAACGACATCTATGGACAAAATACGAAAAGACTTTTTCGACCACCAAATATATCTCAGCCACAAACCTTCAGATGAAACTTGTATGTACATATATGAAACTTGATACACCTGTACATATACACAACGTTTATTAAAACTGACTCTATAACCCTATCAAATTATAGCCTCCATAATAATAAAAATAGCTTTATATATTCCAATGGAATGCTGCAGTTTGATGTTGACTACATCGGGGTAATAAACAAAAGTTTTTCTGAACAAGTAGTTATTAATAACTGCACAGTTGTGTGTATAGTTTTGTGACAAACGGACTTGTTTCAAGAATCTCCGTTCCTAGTGAAATTCTGTTTAAATGGAGCTTTCGCTGAGTTCTATTCAAATTCTTATACAACACTGAAATACAGTCATAGAAGATTTTGTGCAGATCTTTAGCAATTGTACATAATTTTTAGGAAACAGTAGAATCTAATAGAAAAAAGCAGATATTAAATGTTCCGATTTCCTATTCTATTAAATAAATTAATTTTCAATAATAATTGTGTTATTTTGGAATAAACCAGGTTAATTGCTTAATTAAATTATACATTTAATTAACCGGGCCTATTCATTTTATGAAAGACATTTAAAAAATATATATACAAACATGAGAAGGTGTTATGCTGTAATCAGCTATGAAGCCGTTCTTATATGCCACTGGGTTGGTAGTGTGGTGGTGACTAGATTTATAATCCGTTACTGGGATTGGAGATAATGTTGGTGTTTTTGCATGCTGAGTATGTTGGACGTCGTCTATAAAAGCTGTGCTAGCTGAACCAGTCTCAAGTGCTGCTTCCCATGGCGTTTTAACTACTTTCAAACCAGGTTTAATATATTTTTCTAGTACTTGCTCTTGATGCAAATTCAATTGTACACGGTGCTTTCCGGCGTCAGAATAAGCAGGTAAAATACTCGGAGATGCTGCTGGCTTGAACTGTGACTGCTGCTGATGGTAATCTGGAAGACCGGATGGACTTTCAATGCCTGTATTTGTATCATCAACTACCCATTTCTCAGATTTCCTTCGGCGCTTGGCAAAAAGTTCAGCACCTTTTGCAATGGAAATTTGTATTTTTGCAGTATTTTGTGCGGCACGCGAATGTCAATGTGTTTACAGCACAGTGCAACGATATGCAATTAAGCAAGCACATTAAGCAGTAAGCGGCGTTAGGAAGCGAAGACGAGCGGTAATATGTGCGTAGATTTTTATATGTAAGATTTGTAAAATGAAAATTGAATTTATTATAGATAGAATGAATAAAAAATAGTTCTATATACCATAAATAAATGTATTATAATTCTAACTTCAGAATTCAAATGTTTTGTAATACAAACAGTCGCAGGTAATTACACTAGTTTAATGTAATTTTGCTACTGTGATGTTAGAGCCTTTTTTTTTACTAATTTTGGGTCTGGGACCAAACCACCACCTTTTATTAAAATGACAAAAATAACATGTAGGTAATCCAATTATCAATTTATGACATTAGCATGAATTGCAAGCCTATTTTGAACCGAAGAATGTAATTCAGGCATAAAATATTAAAACTGTGGGCAAAAAATAGTAAGACTTAATTTAAATTTTACGCGAAAACCCTTTCGTTGAAATACTTTTTCTAGGTTGTTATGAGTGTCAGTGACATCTGTGCAAATGTCACATAACGGTGAAAAGGTGAGACGAAGCCGAATAAATAAAAATTAATCTTTGCAATTATAAAAAAAACCTGAATAGGAAATAGCGACTAGAAAAAGAAAACCTTTCTCTGTATGCGTATTGTAATACATTTTAAAGATTTTTTAGCGCTATTCATTGGTAAGTTATAGCTCTGACAGACGACAGCGCTAATATGCATTAGCGGACTTAATTTACATTTACTTGCGCATTTGACCCATGTTAACACAAATTTGTAATGCACAAGAATTCCGTGTATTTAGCTGAATTTACCAAATTTGAGTAGGCAACACTTCTCACAAATGGCCGATTTTTGCTATTTTTTGACAGATGCCGCTTGAAGTCTGCCGCCTCCTTTGCGTTTACAGCAACAGAGGTGAACAGTTTTATATTGCTAATTAAATTATGTGCAAGTATACTAACAAAAACAAATTTTAATATTTTTAGATAGCAGAAAGTAAACAACTCACAGTTTGCTATGCATTTTTCCAATATACTTAATTTTTTCACACACTTTTTCCGCATTACAATCAATTATTGCTTTTAATTTCACACTATTATCTTTTAACGTATTTAATAATAAACGAATTTTTTCGTTAAATTTATATTTCCAAAAAATCATCTGTCAGGGCTATAAGAACATAAGAACTTCTACTATAATTTGAAATAGTTATTACTCAGGGGTTATTCTATATGGCGTTGGGCAAGCGAAAATGCAACTTTGTAAGGCAAATTACTGTATTACTTATGCGAGTGTCAAATTTGTGCGTTTAGCAAATTTTTAATTCATCGTCAAACTGGCAAATGTGACCAAAAAACCATGTTATTTCGTAGCGTTTATTTGTAGTATAAATTTACCAAAATAATTTATATTCTAGGAAAAGATGAAAACCTATAGCTAATTTGAAAATTTTTGAACAAACGACATAAAATAGGGGAAAGAAAATATAAATTAGCATTTCAAAAATTCGAACACAACAAAGATTGGTTTAGAAAAAAAATTCAAACTAAAATTTGCAACATTAGAACTATAAAAGCAAACTTATTAGTGTTTTTTATGTCCAATTTAAAATCATATTTAAATTTATTGTAATTCACATCTTATCCATGTTTACTCCTTTTATATTTAAAACTTTCACAACTAATTTAAAACTTTAAAACTTTTTACACTTCTTTATTATCGATTTGTTTTCAATTTTCTCTCGTTTCGTGAAGTAATGCCAAGAGTATTGGAAATGTGTAAACTTAAATATAGCACAAAATGCGAATGTGTAACATAGTACCTATTGCCCTTCGCACTGCAGTTCATTTTCGCAACACATTGTTATTCGCAACGCCTTACAGATAACCCCTCAGCTGCATTGATTCTTTTAAATATTCATATACGTACATATAAATACACAATTACCTTTGCCCTTTTGAGTCTGTAACGCCGTCACGAGTTCCGCACATTTATTAGGAGATAAAAGACCAGTTTCAATATTAAATGAGTCACTCACTGACGTTATGTCACGAATCTTTCCAAATGGATTCATTAAAAATCGAAGAGGCACTTGATTAAGTGGTGAGCTTAGAGTTGGTGATTGTGTTGCAGTGTTAAGAGACGCATTATTTTCTTTGAATTTCTCCTGATAACTTTGTTCCTTGGCAGATGAATCTATATTTTCATCATTGAAATTGTTAGCGGAATTCCTTTTTTTTAGTTACCAATTTACATTATTTTTAAACTCCTTTAATACACAAATAAGTATCCCCTAACCCACTACTTAAATTATATATAACAGTACAAGAGAATATAGTAATCACTACTCTAACTACTCAGTTGTTCTTTAATATATGTACTCTCAACATTTTGCACAGAGTATAATAGCTTTGCTCACTTATCAGTGGGTTGTAACACCTAAAACTACATACATACATATATTAATAATACCAAATGTTCGTCTGTTCATTCATCCATATGCTCATGAATATTATAATTTGTGATATCTTGAAATTGGTACACGTGTTCACATAGTCCTCTGAGAAGGTGGGTACTTCAAACGAGGACTAGGAAGATCATTGGCGCACCGGAAAAAACCGTTAATACAAGATGCGTCCCAAAGTAAACAGAAGTGCTATTTTTATCGATTGTCTGATGAGAATTTCATATATTGGAAGTGAAGTTATTGCGTTTTAGGTGTCAGTATGTTTGTGTTATCAGTGCGAAAATGAGCTTTGAACAAAAATTCAACATTAAATTTTGTTTTACAATTGGTGAAACTTTTACCGAAACGTTTCAATTGATGTAAAAAGTTTATGGTATTGATTGCCTATCCCGTAGCAGAGTGCACGAGTGGTTTCAACGTTTTCAAATTGATCGTGAGGACATAAATGACGATCAACATGTGGGCCAATCAAAATCCAATCAAATCAAAAATTAGCCGAAATCATCATTGAAATTCATGGAAATGTAATTGAACATCTCCAAAACATCGATTTGTCGCATTTTGACCGAACATTTGGGCTTACGAAAGGTGTGTGCACGGTTTGTTCCACACAAATTGACTGACGCCTAAAAAGTGCTCAGAATCCAACATTTGAAGAACGTTCACATTTTAACCATTAATCACTCCCCGTATTCACCTCATATGGCATCGTGCGAAAGCATTATGCAAACGTAGAGGCCACTCAACAGGCTTTCACCGGCATACTACCAGCCCTACTGGCCAACGAGCTAAAACACTCGTTCGACATGCTTTTGGACCGTGGAAAAGCTGTATTGAAGCAGAAGGAGACTATTTTGAATAAAATAAATTGATTTTGCCAATAAATCAATTTGTTCTGTTTTTTTAAGTCCTGTTTACTTTGGAACGGACCTTGTATAAATTTCACAGACAAAAACAACCTATTCGAAACAATAAAGCCACTCATTAAACAGACGTAGTAAACGCAATACACTGCGATCTACCACACTAGCCAGTATCCAACATGATTTGGTGCTAAATTTACCGGCAACCAAGTTCCAGCACAGCAAAAATACCGTGGTCGACATTACAGATAAAAATGAACAATTGAAATTGTCACCACCGAACATAAGCGCGAGCACAGAACCGCCCTTTAAAATACTAAACAAATCCTTCACGATTATTATTTTATACAGTCTTCGACTATCTCTCTCATTGAGCGGACGTGTTTTCTAATCGCGGTTTTTCTTTTGTGCTTTACGCTTAATTCGCATATTCCTTTTTGCATATAAGTGCACGTGTTTTCGTTTTACTTTGATCGTACGGTCACTCGCGTAAAAAACAGTGCATATTAGTGAATATTTGATTTATTATGGCCCCAGGGCCGCCTATTTTTGGGGAAAACAGGTTTGCTTTGCTTGCCTCTAGCCCCAACCCCAAAAGGAAAAAACTTACATACAAACCACTTGAAAATTTTCCAGGGCTGCCTCAAGTTAAAAAAGATTGCCCAAAGTTTGTTCTAATATCTGCAGCAGATTCGAACAAAACACTTTCCAAATACTCTTGCTTCGCAGTGCATAAAAGCACTGCAAAGGATCAATAAGTAAGGAAATTTTATCTATAACCGAACTACGTGATGGTAATTTACTCTTACTCGTTAAAAATAGGAAGATCGCTGAAAAATTTCTTACAACAAAGAAATTACATTGAATTTGCGATATTAAAGTTAAGTTACACGGCAATTTGAATTGCTCTAAAGATAAAATTAACGCCCCATTTCTAAATGACATTGCAGAAGATGAAATTGTTGACAGTTTAAAAGATCAGGGAGTTACTTTTGTGTATAAATTCACAAAAAATATAGAAGGCAAATAAAGACCTAGTGGTGTGATACTTCTTTCATTTGACCTCTACAAACTTCCAGAAAAAATCGAAGTCTCATGGCGCAAAATGCGCATTAGAGCATATTTCCCTAACCCCATGAGGTGTAAAAGTTGCCAGCTTCTCGGTCACACAACGAAACGTTGCAACAACAACCCTGCCTGCGATATGTGTAGTTACCCTCCTCATCTCCCCTCGCCATGCAACCGCACATTTTGTGCAAATTGCTCAGGCGATCATCCTTCCTCTTCACGCTCTTGTCCTAAATACCTATAATCCAAAAATATTCTAAAAATAAAAACAGAAAATAAATGCTCAATGCGAGAAGCGCTAAGGCTGTATAAACAACAATTACCCCCGACCCCCGCAAACACTTCTTTCGCTTCTGTTACAAAAGAAAATACAAACAAGCAAATAACAAACGTGATTTCCCACCGCTCAT